ATAATGTTATTTAAGTCAATGATATTATATACATATATGAGGTAGATGACACTACCGCAACGAAACTGAGGCTTTCAAATCGCACCAATTGGTGTAAGCAGATTGCAATTCTATAGACTATCTCTTTCCGTATCATACGTTCTATATCATCTGTCACATTCACTTATAAATTATAGCCATCATTATGTCTTATTTTGATGTATAAGCTATATTATTGTAGTGTCATTAAAATCCATTTAGTAGTTTTTGCGTGAAAGAGTAACAAACATCCATCCATACATACAAACTTTCGCATTTATAATATTAGTAAGGATTGATAAGTAATGTTAAGTAACTAAATTAGTAAAAAAATTGATCATTAGTTGAGTAGGAATTCGACAAAGGTTTCTCTTTTTTAACAAGCTTTCATTAGCATCACTTGCATCTTGGATGGATGAATATTTATTTAGTTTTTAACAACAAACACAGGTATGTGAATAATTAAAATAATACATATTTAAGGCGTGAAACAAAATAGGTATGTACTCGGTACGATTTCTCGTTTTTCAGTGCATCGGTACCAAAAATTAAAATTGTAAATAACAAACTAGACTAAGATTAACACAAAGCGGGTACATTATTTCGAGGACAATAACACAATACCAATACCAATACCTACTTATTGTAACACTTAATCTGGTACATTATTCCAAAGATCTATGTAATCTTCTATTTATCTATGTAAGAAAATCTTTCTCTTTCTATCTAATCAATCTCCTCCAGCTGGCCGATTTGTTTGACAATCCGTACACGTGTTCAGCTCGCTATGACAATGTAACAACTACGTATTTTCAAGCTGATATCATTGCCTACCTGAATTAAAGGAACACTGATTTTATATGTATGATTTTAGGCAAGTAAGTTCAACGGTGGTAGGGCCACGCAGCAGCCTCGGCTGTTGCACGAATGGGCAGGCCCGTCCGGGTAAGTACCACGACCTCACAGAAGACCAGCGTAAAGTGGAAGTATGACAAATACTTTCGCGTTTCGTCTGGTGAGTGAGGTAGCCGGAGCCCAGTTTTCAAAAGGTTGTCAACGCATCTGTAACCTTTGGATGTAGCAGACATCCATGGGCGGCGGTATTCACTTAACATCAGGTGACCCGTCTGCTCGTTTGGCAACTTTTCGCATAAAAAAAAAATAAAAAAGTAATTTTTATGACTTACAGGTAGCTTTACTGTGTTGTGTTGTAGGTGCAGGAGTTTATGGCTGTGAAATCTATCCGACAAGGGTGTAGCGTATTGACGATTACAGGAGTTGTTGTAGTTTTCTTCACCATGGCTTAATTTTGTATAGTCTTGAGAACTTCTTGCATTAAAGACAGTAAAGGGAATCGTACATAAGCGACGTTTCTATTGGTTGTTGCTATTTGTTGTTGCACCCCTCCGATTAGAACAGACTTAGACATTAGATCAATAGACTAAAGTACTTTTTGTACAGATTTTGATGTGATATTCATAACAGATACAAAAATTCGATTCTCCAGCTGATGACTATTTGACTTTTGGGAACACAACTCACACATATATATATATATATATATATATATATATATATATATATATATATATATATATATATTTATATATATAAATTAGCTTATGAACCTCTTATGTATTTATATATGTTTTTATTTATGTAATGATATTATATTTATAATTATTGCATATACGTGTATTATAATGAATGTAAGTACACCATTGGTAACCAATTTCCAGTCACAGGTCTGCTGGAAGAAATTTCCTAAGAAATAAGCAGGGCCTTTGTACAAGTTCTTTCATGTATTTACATTTCTGTCATAATTCTCTGTGTACATAAATTATAAATAAATAAATAAAAATTGTATGCATAAGTATAAGTTACCTTTGTTAGCGTCTTGTATTACACACAAGTTGGTCTTACCCCCATTATCAATTTTGCCTCGTATGTTGAAACGCGCCCTTATTTTTCTTCATTTTGAAGTATTCTAATAAAAAAGTCAGCATTGCTTTAAATTTTGTTGCCTATTTCCACGTGTTTAGTGTTCTTCAGTTAATCCAAGTTCGCAAAAATTTTCGCTACTCTACTTGTGTACTATTTGTGGATTACGTTTTCACAGCGAGGTTGGAGTCTATAACGGTGTTCGATTCCAAAGTGAGTACATACCTAGTCGTTTCCGGTGATACCGTCACTTATTATACAGCGGCGTTACTAGTCTCGTTTAACGTCAGTTAATACGTGATGGTCCACTAGTTCGTGCCTCCATACGCGATATGAGCGGCGTGCGCCATGATATTTCTTTGTAGGGTTCCGTACCCAAAGGGTGAAACGGGACCGCGTTATTAAGACGGCTGTCTGTCGGTCCGTCTGTCACCAGGCTGTCTCATGAACCGTGATAGGTAGACAGTTGAAATTTCCACAGATGACGTTCTGTTGCCGCTATACTAAAAAACAGAATCAACAATATTTAAGTGGGGCGCTCCCATACAGCAGACATGATTCTTTTGCCGTTGTTATAGATGGTACGGAACCCTTCGTGTGCGAGTCCGACTCGCACTTGGCCGGCTTTTTCAATTATCTCGTGCAATAATCTCACTTATGTGACGGCATTGTTGCCGAGTTATCGGGATTTATGTCGGTTATGCGTTAATACTATTAGAAATGTCACGCCGATGGCGGTAAAAAGATGGGAGCTTGTGCGAAATCACCGTCCCACGTTTGCTTCTTGTACAAAGTTCGAAATGAGACAGTTGTCAAGCTGTCAACTGTCTCATTTCGAAGCTGATAGAATCCGTGAAAAGTTGTCAGCTGCGCTACGAACACGACCATGGACAATGTAGATGCCCTTAAAGCTGTCCCTCTCCTCAGACTGTGGTAGGGCCACGCTATAGCGAACCCTGTGGCACGAATGGGCAGGTCCTTCAGTTGACGTACCACGACCTCGTTTTATACTTCTGCATTTTGTGTGGTGAGGACTAACCGGAGACCAATTTATGAAATGATGGCAACGCATCTCGTCTACAAACCCTTTAGGTTTGGTCGGTCCATTGGCGGCGGTTATCACTATCCGCTGTGTCTGTCACTATATGCTTAGATCTATAAAACTACGCAACGGTGGTTTTCTTTAATAGATATAGTGATTCAAGAGGAAGGTTTATATATAATTCATGCATAATATAGTATAGAAACTATTACTACTTTAGAGGTTTCTAATGCGACGTCGAAACACACGGCATTGCACCCGTGCGAAGCCGGAGCGGGTCGCTAGTTAATACATAAAGAAGTATACGAGACGGTTCCACTACTCAGGCATTTCGGGTTCGCTGGGGCTGGCGATTGCTTCGACTTAGCGCCAACTGCCTCTCAGTATCAGTCGACTTCTAGTCCAGCCGTATAGGAGTTCGGGCACCGGGGCGTCGCGTACCGAAATAGCTATTAATCAACGGGAAGTAACTACGCCCAACCAGTCTGAGGCAATGTAAACAGCGATACACACGGTCGCCCCCGACCGCCAGCAATAATCGCCTACGTGTTAACGGAACGGCCCGTTGTTTGACCGTATGGGCGTGCTGAGGGGCCCTATGAACTATCGAAATAAATTATCGTATACAAACTATGCCGCAGTTACTCGCCAGTTTTAGCCGACAATAAGACTTGAAGCTAATTATGAAAATAAAATTTTCAGCTTTACGTTTATTTTCCTTTTGAGTTTGAATTGAATTTTCGGTAAGATCGAAAAATATTATGCATATTTTATTACTCAAATGTAATTTCCAAAATACACGATTTACCATAAAACAAAACCGAGCAAAGCTCGGTCCTCCAGGTACTTATTATTATGGAGCTAATGTCAAATACCTATCGCTAGTAACCAAATCTATCTGTAGATTTAATATTGAAACTGGGCGTAAGATTGCAATCCAATTTAGCAACTTTGTTCGGAACCATCGAGCTGCAACTCAATTATTTGAGACTTGAGCTATCTCACAGCTCTAGCTTAACTGTTGATAAATGACAAGTTCCACCTGAATACCGAAAATGGCAAACTACTCTACTAACTATCCACATGATTAGTTTTATTTTTAGTGCTAATCTCTGCACCCACTCACGTCTGGGCGTGTTACTCAGAAAACTCAGGTCTCGAATCGCGAACCGCCGAAGGAAAGAATACATTTTTTTTGGTCAATTTCTTTATAAAATAAAATACACATGTTTATAATATGAAGTAAAAAGTTCTACATTTATCACAACTCCCCGAGCATCCTCCATGAGCTGTCATAGCTCAGTGTCCGGGCGCACGATTTCAATTCGATATTATCTAGCGACCCGAGTTTGCCCCGGTGCCGGCACCAATGGAATTTTTAATTTTAAGTGCTGACTTATAACGCGCTCAGCGGTGAAGGAAAACATCGTGAGGGAGGGAATATGCGTATTTTCCAAATAATAACAACAAAAATATTTCGAACATATGTGAAGTCCGCCATTCGCAGTGGGGTCGCATTTTGCACTATGCCCTGATACCCTCTATACAGAAGAGCCCTTTGCTCAGCAGTGGGACAAAATTATATAGGCTGTTACTTTACTTTTTTTAATAAACCATGTAATTTGTGACAGTAGACCCCCGACACGGAGATCATTTTTTTATTTTACTTTTATTCATCGTTTCCCCCCTGATATATGTGGTTCGTGGACCTTTTTATTAATTCCCTTTAATTACCACTAAATAGGTTATATTTATATATTTAATACTTCTGTACGCGTGTATGTCACTGCACTCCTCCTAAACGGCGGATTTTAATGAAACTTTTTGTGTGTCTTCAGGTGGATTCGAAAATGATTTAGATTCACAAAGTTATTAAAATTTTCGAATTTAAGACGTGTGTACAGGACGTCTGTCCGGTCCGCTAGTATTAAACTAAATCTTTTATCACTGGGACACTTATTGGCTCTAACTTTTCTTTTCTTGCTTTCATTTTCCCCAGCGCTGATCAAACGCAATGCCGAATGCGAGGAGCCCGAGGATTCGGCGTCTCACTTCTCCTCTGTGCTGAAGCAGCTTGTCGAGGAGGACATACCTGGTTTGCCGCCCGGCGGTGGCTTAGCCGCCAAGTGAGTATTTACCTTAGGCCCAATTGTTACGGCTCTTAATCCAGATGTCATTCTTTAAACATAAGCAACTCCTGCCAAGTGAATACCGTGTCGATATAACTCAGCCAAGTTAACTTCAACCCTGTGTCCGACGAAAGGTATTCCTAATTAATAAAGACTTGAAAATATTAACAAAAAACAAAACTGACTTCAAATATCTTACTATACATCATCTACTTGATTATGAGGAGCTATTTTTTAAAATTTACATCGATACGTAGACTTAGATCATAAACAATCTATTATTTTTGGTAATAAAACCTATTAATAAAAAAGAAACGTGTACACACCAGAGGGGGACTTTTGGCCTCTTATTCATGTCAAAAACTACTGCCGCAGCCTGTCTGGGCGGTAGTTTTTGACGTCTACAACAGCTTGAGTACAAGCAATTGAATACTTGACCCTGACCCCAAACGTTCTCCCCGCCAGGCAAGCGCTCCTGGACAAGATATACAGGGAGTACTACCCAGAGCACGCGGACAGCTCCGACACGTTCGAGTGCCAGAACGAGATGGCGGACGCGTTCGGCGCGAACTGAGCGCGCCGCGAGCGGAACCGTACGCGCCCACTAGTGCGACAACCCCCCCCCCCCCCCCCCCCCTCCCTCTACCGGTCCAATGATACACCGCGAAACACTGATGCCCCTCCATCGACAGCTCGTTATAATAGCCCCCCCCCCCATCCTCCAGCCGGTCCAATGATACACCGGCAAACACTGATCCCCCTCCATCGACAGCCCGTTGTAATAGCCCTCCCATCCTCCAGCCGGCTCAATGACACACCGTGAAACACTGAATCCCCTCCATCGACAGCCCATTATAATAGTCCCCCTCTTCCAGCCGGCCCAATGATACACCGCGAAACTCTGATCCCCTTCCATCGACAGCCCGTTATAATATCCCCCCCCCCCCCCCCCCCCCCCCCCCCCCCCCCCCCCCAATCCTCCAGCCGGCCCAATGATACACCGCGAAATACTGATCCCCTTCCATCGACAGGCCATTATAATAGCCCCCCCCCCCCCTTCCTCCTCCTCCAGCCGGCCCAATGATACACCCCTCTCCTCTAACTGGCCCCATAAGTGAAACACCGACATCAAATAACTGATGGATTGTGATCAAGTGCTTGGAGACTTGTCACAAAAGTGAAAAGACGGTGCACAGATGAATTATTAGCAATAAACAAAAGCATCTGTGCGTGCACTCCTCTTAATAATCGAGCGGTCATTTCTTGTGTTAAAATTCATTGTCACATGATAAATTGGTTGTAATGATGTGATTAGTGAGATGATTTTATTTGGAATATCTTTAAATGTTGTACAGGACTATGTTGGCGAATTATTAAAAATATTCTTGGTACTTGACACACGTTATCCCTATTGTGAATCAAATGATAAATTTAAAAATTTCGCACTCAGCGCCAATTGCGCATGATATACTTAATTGTAATGGTCAATACATTAACAATAAATTTGATAACTCGTGGGGGCGTACGGTCGTAATATTAGCTGAATACTAATAAAGAATTAAGTAGCACTCTTAGTCCGGCCCCCGTCTATTTCAACATTGGCAACACAGATTTTGATTGTACATAATCACTGCTAATGCGGCGGGAGTGTCTATTGTCTTCTCGATTTCCAACGAAAGGTCATTTGAATGTTACTATGGCGGAAAAGTAAAGTTTCCTGCTGAAATATTCCGTTGGTTCCAACTAAGTGAGCATTAACGATGAAAATATTTTATGAAACTGGTAACATTGTTTGTTTGTTTTTCGATATCGTCCGTTTCAACAATGCTTTTAATGTGAAAGGGCCACTTTCTGCCATCGTTTATTTTTAGAAACTAATTACTAAATAAGATGATAAATAAACATATTACTTTCACCATCTTCGTGATAGCAATAAAAGTGACCTTTTGTTAGATATCCCACTTCGTCTATGTCGATTGTCGTTAGTTTTAAACGAAAGCTTTGTACAAAAAGAGATCGCTTCACGTGTGACCATAGCCTGTCTGTAGAGAAACAAATTGTCCATGGTAGGCCAATGATGGCGGCAATCCGAACATAGTCGAAGGCCCACCTCACGACCATCGGACAAGTGTGCGTGTAAAGTTTGTAATACTCGAGCTGCTGCATTATGTTCTGTTCTTTTTTGTTCTGTTCTACCCTAAGGTGTTTTGTGTATGTCCATTTTGTTACTCCCCCTCGACGGCCATTCCAGAGCGGCGTTGGTAGCCCCAATAAAGTGAACATCTCCTTCATTGCATGGCACAAATTTCGGTTTACCTCTAATCGTAGACCTAACGAGCTCATAGTTTTACGATGATTGTACAGCTGCGCACGGGTCTTTGAATTTGGTCGGGTTACATTTCACATAAGTTAGCTTAGTTCTCTTTACGTTTACCTTTTCTGTTACATCATTGACCTTGTTCATAAATGTCATAATATTAGATGTGTAATATAGAGATTCGAGTAAAATATATATATATATATATATATAAATAATAAAAAAAAAAAACAAAATAGTCTTAATAACATAATTGAAAACCTCTTTGTGTTGTCTAATTCGTTTCCCGCCGATCGCATTGTCTGTGGATTTTTGGCTCTAAATTAATTTTTTTTTGCGTTTTGTCTATTTTTGTTTTAATATATTTATATTGCGATTTTCACAGATAATGTGGGCAAATTTCGAGAGAGGCCAGTTGCAATTTAGTTAATGTACATTTAAATTGTCACATCTCACACCTGTCTCATCTACTAATGAAACATTTTTAAATGTAGATATAGAAACCGGATTTTATAAACCCGATATAAATATGGCGCAAGTATGATTCAATGGGTTTTAAATTTGCTATTGTTATAAAATAATCAATTTAAATAATAAGACATCTTTTCATGGGAAATTAAAAAAAATATTACGTGTATGCATTAAAAAAATATTGTAATAGCCGTTCATAAAATGTTACACATGATTGTATTTTTCGTGCTAGAATTTGTCAACACATCCCGCCTTACTTTTCTACAAAGTTTATCACTAGTCTTTGAATTATGTACATAATTTTCTGTAAAGCAAACCTGCAGCCCGAGTCCAAAATTTGTAATTATCTTCGTCATAAAATAATATTTATGATGAACCTATTTTAAAAGCAAAACACAATCGAATTTTTTAAAGTTTTAGTTTTTTTTTTTTAAGTGTTTTGTCTTGCTTCGAAATTTGATATATAAGCTTTATCGAAATTTCTAGTTTACATTGAGTTTTAGCGGCTTGCTTAAAATTGCTTCGTACTTAGAAAAAAAAATTTTTTTTTCGTTGTCGAAAATTCATTTAAACATATTTCACTTACATCGAGTTCACTAGTTCTAGGGATTTAATAACATTTTATCTGTTACCGAATTAACGAAATGTCACGTGTGCTCCGTCAGCTGAGCCGGGCGCGGACTAAAGTCGACTTTAACCACAACTGTTTAAAGGCGACAATTTAATATCCGCGTGAACTCGTGATCAGCTGAGGGCCCGAAAACTTAGTTGATTTCTGTTCACCTTGTGTATATAGAAGAAGATACTTTTGTACCTGTTGGAGTGAATATAAAGAGATTCACGTGAAATCTGCAATATGAATAATAAAGAGCGTGTACGACTAAAGAGCTTTGCGGTATGAGTCTCCCGACGGACGACGGACCAGCCGCCATCTTGCACGCTGTTGTTTTTTTTTTTTTGCTATCGTCGTGACATAGATTATCCCCACTATGCCATACTACCCTTTAACATGAAACGAAACATATTCGCACCCCCTTTTTGTGTGAACTTTGTAACAGTATCCACTTTTTTTTAATTTGTATTAGTGCAGCAATATCACCATTTTCTTCGAATGTAGGCGTTATACATATTGTTTTTTGTGTAAAGTTTTGTCGTTAATCAAATTATACCAAATACTTGAGGCAGAAGTGGGTTTTGAATTTGAATTTTTTTTATGTCCATACGAAAATAATAGTGTAGATTTAAATATCTGGTTGTTTGTTTTTCTTTTCAATTATAGTTAATTTCGCTTTCGGAGAGTCGACATTGTGTCTCGTTATATCTAGTAGACGCTTGAACAAGAAATAAAAACTGTACGTATCTTTAAAGTTTTATTTTATTTTGTTTCTGTAATATTATTTTCCCGTCAACAACTTTTGATTGCATCTCGAAGTATCATTGCGAACTTTCCTTTCATAAACGTTAAATCGCTTTAAAATATGGACAATCATTTACTATTTTTTTTTTCATTAATTTTCATTAATTTTTTTGGAAAAAACCTTATTGATAATTATGAAGAATATTTTGTGATCATGTATTGTTTTAATTGTCTCTTAAAAGGGATGAATAATAATGCACCACAAACATTTTACTACGGTTTACAATGCCACAAACTTCACAGTTTACATTGTGCTCGTCATGAAATGACTTCTAAGGCTTTATTTAACGTTTATATCACAAGATACCCTTTAACTTTTATTTTCTTTTCCAAATTTACGGAAATAAATAAATTAAAAACAAAACTTTCTATGTAAAAATGTCAGTGTACTATAACTGTAGTGAAATTGCATTACAATAATGTAATTAATGTTATCAGTCCTAGTTTTACAAATGGAACTTATTTTTAAATTACAGAGCTATATCTTCATCACCGATTGGTTGTAGTGTAGTAGAATAGTTTAAAAAAATATAATAAATATTTATAATACCAGTGGTGTTTGGAACTGTTGTCACATTTCGACTTTTTGGATTTTGGTCCTTTTAGCCCGACAGTGAAATATCACGAAAGTTTTGGCGGGCGAATGATTGCTAAGGAAATAAAAACGCTAAGACGCCTCTTAAACATACACAAACAATCACACAAAGGGGAGGCAGAGATGAGATAAGAGGATATAATATGGCGTTTCACCTGATGTTAAATGATAACTGCCGCCCATGGACATTTGTAACCCGTAAGTTTGCAGATGCATTGCCTTACCTTTAAATAAAGTGAGGCGCGGCTACCTCACTCACCAGACGAAACGCAGAACTATAACACTGCTACCTTACGCCGGCATTCTGTGAGGTCGTTGTTACTTACCGGACGCACCGGCCCATTCCTGCAATAGCCAAAACTGAACTGACTTTTGTACTTTTTGTTGCATAAATTGTTCCGAGCCACCAACATCCGTACTTGAACTTATATTCATGGGCGACTCGGAGCAGTAAGGTGTGGGATAAGGACAGTAGGAGGATCTTTCGATGATATGCCATTGACTCCCATATGACTCCGCATATGCCCATTATTATGAGTACATATATTTTAAAAGAGAATGTGATTAGCTATTTCATTCGTCCAGTTTTTTATCTACTGGCTCTGGTAATGTTCAGCATATTTATGCAGAAATTCGATGTCAGTATTTTGAATGTATGTCGTATAGAGATAGAACTTAGTAAGGCCACGCCTCAGCTTCTGCTGCTGAACTATAATGGACACGCATGCTCGCTTGTCAATTTTTCACGTAAAAATTTGTACAAAATAGGTACTAAATTTTTGTGATGAAAGAAAATTAGATTTTGCAATCGCAGCGAGTGTACTCGTATTATCAATTATAGTTGTAATTAAGAATTGGAAGTAAGTAAAGAAAAACCTTATGTTTATGAATTTATTCCGAATGCGGTAGGAAAATGCGACGTGTTTTGATTGCAATCGATCGAATAAGCTCCAGTCATAGAGACAAAAATTGTATTGTATTCATAAATTGTAGCACAAATATAATTACCATAAAGTTTACGAATTTAGTTACGAAAACGCATGAGTGTATAGTTGAGGAACTTGTCTGTGATACTTTGAAAGTAATGGCTATAAAAAAAGCAAGTAAACTTTCTAGTTCGATGTTTGATACATCGCTCTGGATATTTTATAACTCATTTATTAATTAGTAAAAAAAAAAAACTATCGGACCTTTACCTTTTTTAATTTGACAATATCCTATTTATAAAAATGTATTTCAGGGCGATATTTGACGTTATACCTTATTAATGTTTTTATAAAATATGTTGATAATAATAAATAATAAAAACAATGAATCTTTATAAAGATTACCGACAAAAAGTAAGAAAGGAAGGCCTTCAGTTTACAAACATTATATTAGGGGGTGACATTGCGCCTAAGCTTCATCACTACCTCCAGCTCTTGGATAATTTGAAAATAAAAGAGGGCTCCTACGAAGAATACTATGGCGAGGTGAAGAAAATCGTGAACAGTTTCATCATCCACTGGACCGAGGTGATGAATAACGCTATCAAAGAGGCGGACAAAGTGACGACGGTCGTGGACAAAAGCGAGCTTCTGGAATACGTGAACAACACCATAGAAATGCAGAAGGTGAAACAGTCTCATTTCGAGGGGTTCTTTCTTCCAATTAGCACTGCAGCAGAGAAGCGAGATTACGATGAGATCACAATCCTCTATGATAAACACATGGAGAGACTTGAGAACGTGAGGTTGGCCGTCATCGCCATGCGTGACCCCGAGACCATGAAAAACTTCGCCAAAGAACATTTTACAATATCTTTACACAGAAAAAACGACATTTTCGCCTTCACACATAACTATATAGCAATGATGCTATCGAAAAAAGTGAGTAATGCTCTGTTTTGGACAATGGTGTTTAAGAATGTAGATGAAGCATGTCCATACTTTTTTTTATGTGAGAAAGTGCCAAACGAGTAGGCGGTTCACCTGATGTTAAGTGATAACCGCCGCCCATGAACATTTGCTATACCCGCAGGGTTGCAAATGCGTTGCCACCTTTAAATAAATTTGGTCTCGACTACCTCACTCACCAGACGAAACGCAGAAGTGTAACACTTCTACTATACGCCGGTCTTCTGTGAGGTTGTGGTACTTACCCGGACGGATACTGCGAGACGTTTAAAAATTGTTTTGCTTTACATTATAATATGACATTAAGTGTATGTGACGAAATGAGGACAGCAATTTGAGTCTTCCTAAGTAAAGAAGATGTGGTAAGATCCGCCTTCTATATATGCATATGATGCGATGCAAAAACAAGTTTATTGCTTTTTAGGGTTCCGTACCCAAAGGGTAAAATGGGACCCTATTACTAAGACTCCGCTATGTGTCCCTCTGTTTGTCTGTCACCAGGCTGTATCTCATGAACCGTAATAGATAGTAGAAATTTTACATAAAACGTACCTATTCCTATTTCTGCTCAGCCTAGCTCATTGCCCGGGCGCTTGATTTTAATTCCATATACCTACTCAAGCAACCTGAGTTCGATCACGGGTGCCGGCACCAATTAAATTATTATTTTAAAGTGCTGACTTATCACGTGATGAGTCAGCACTTAAGCACGTGCTCTGCGGTGAAGGAAAACATCGTGAAAAAATCTGCATATTTTCGAAATAAGTTGTGTGAAGTCCGCCAATCCGCAGCGGGGTCGCGTGGTGTACTATGCCCTAATACCCTCTATAAATAGGAGGTTTTTGCCCAGCACCGAGACATATATGTATAGGCTGTTATTTTACCTTCTTATCCATCCCTCCGTTTTATAATTAAACCATGAACATAAATTATTTTAGATACACGAAATAAACGTTAGCCTCAAGGAGATTGTGAATCGAACGAGGAATAACTTACGCGATCTGCAGGAAAGACGCGACGAGGAACTGGGCGAACTGCTTAACCAGTTGTACAACAAAAACAAAGAGCACCTGACGGTATTCAGGAGGTCCGGGCGCACCTCTCTCGAAATGGCTGAAGTAAGCTGCCAAGAAGACGTCATGAATTTGTTGCTACCTGCCCCTGATATAGTTCGAATGTGCTACTGTTAGGCCCGAAAAATATAACGTTAATAGTTATAATTTAATAATTAAAATACTTCTATCGTTAAGCACAATCGAACTGAGTTCAGTCTACTATACCGGGGTACTTCCCCGGACGAGCTTGCCCATCCGTGAAACGGCAAAAGCTGTTACGTAGATCTTCCACAGTTGTTAATACATTTGATCAGTAAATTTATGCTTATTAAAACAGTACACATGGATGGGTTATATATTTAAAGTTCTTAGAAACAAGAATGTGTTAAGTATTGCCACGGCCGTAGCTAGGGGGGGGCATTGTAGGGCAATGCCCTACCTTAAAATCACAATGCCCTACCTTAACAATACCAAAATAAAAATGCGTAAATATGACCACGTTTCAAGTGATTTCCCATCTTACTTCGCCGGAATTTGTATAATCTTTCTATGTTGTACCTACTGTGTTCTATTTCATGTTTCTACTCCACTTTATTTAAAGGAGAAATTTGAATTTGTAGGACTTCTAGGGGAAGATCCTACCTTCTTCGAGGAAGCTCATTTTAAAGGTGCCAAATCACAAAACGTAATTTTTTGAAAAATCTTTTACCGTACAGGTTTTTAAACTCTCAACTTTTCCGAACATACCACAGTTCGTCAAAATCAAAATAATTTATTTATCGACTTAGGAAACATACATTTCATCTATCGATAGTATTTTCTATCATCGTTTCATAATGAGGTTCCTGAAATTATATCAAGAGAAGAGGCTAGTGTGGTTAAAGTTTACTTGAGTCGTAACGAGGACAAAATGGAAAATACATTGCAAGTGTTGTACAGGCAACGAGAGGCGTTTAAAGATACATATGAACATTTTGCATCTGTGGCGACCATAGGATGTAGCACTGCAGTGTGCGAATCTACGTTTTTAACTTTAACTGCAATCAATAGGCCTCAAAGGCTGTCAATGGGTCACGAGAGAATGGTATGGTATTACTGGCCTTTGGAAAAAAAGTACAAAATCAGTTGATCTGAACGAAGTTCTTCGCATTTTTCATAAAATGGCGAATCGAAGAATTCAGCTATTTTAAATATTTTTATTATTATATTAATTATGGTTAAAAGTCTGCAGAAACAATTTGATATAAATGGTATTTTTGGTCGTATTATCTCATCCAAAAAATACTTATTACCCCACTCTCACTCAGAAGTGGATCTCTACATCCAAAGCTAGAAGTTCAACCATCTAATTCGCTTATTCTTCATCATTAAGGATTTAATAGTGCTTAGACCCATGCTCATGTTCTGTCATAGAAATTATTTGTCTACGAATAGCTATTGAACTGACCTAGAGGTCAGTGATATACATGATGATTGATTTAGGAGCTCATGCTTCGATGGCAGATCAATTATGATAAGTTGCTTACTTCCGCCCGACCTGTAATCAATGCTGCCCTACCTCAAATTCAACTCTAGCTACAGCCCTTAGTATTGCCGTTATTAGGCGTTAGCGACACAAGGGGAACCCCCATTGCGCTACCCGCAGTTGCTTTACTAGGCAAATATTAAGTACTAAGAGGTAAGTAGTTGTATTTTATATGAATTTGTTTATCCCTTGACGCGTCAACAGTCAAGTGGGACTGGTTTCACGCAGAAGAGACTACCGTTGGAACGTTGTTGTTCACACGTGTGGTGGCCGCGTGTATTGACGTAAGTTAGGCAAAAAACTAATATCATAGAGCTGTTGTTAGTAAAGCCGATCGGGTTTCTGTTCGTGCTTTGGGACTGGGGGAATGATAAAAGTGATAAAACGTCTCTGTGTACCATTGTCCATTTTATATCAAACACTTTACGGGGGACATCACTGTAGAGTTTCTGAAACAAACAGCTCTGGACGACGTCAATAAGGTGATAGGGTTTTGAATGCACCATCCAGGTACAACGATGCATGGACAAATTGAAGGGCGAAATAGAAGGCCGCAAAGACGAAGTCCTGTGCCGCCTGAAGGAAGAGTTTAATTATTGGAAACAAAAACTTACAGAGTTCAAACGGATCGCTAAAACTATTGACGATTTGAACAAATTAGAACGGGTAGTCTTGGAGCAACAGACGACATATCTTGAATTAAGGTAGGTAGTGAGAAATTAAAAAATTTTAAGATTTATGATTTATATCATATTTCATCAGGAACAAACATAAATTTACACTACGCACAAGTAGACTGCGTAGTATAAGTAAATTTTTATGGGACAACGTTTTTACAAGAAACGTTTTTTCCAAAATATTGATTTCTTTATTCCTTACTTAACTATTTGCTATTGTCGATGATTTTAAAGGGATACCCAAATACCAAAGACTGAACGTAAATGTTGGGAGCATTTGGAAGGAGTGTTTGAAGAGAAATTGGTGCGTCTCGATGAAAAGAAAAGGGAAGCCGCGCGAGCCTTGCTTAGTTTCTTCAGTGTTAGAGGTACCTTATGATTTCTTCGATTTAAAAAAAAAAATTTGCACGTTATGATAAACCGTATAATGAAAAAGAAAGAAAAGAAATGGACATTATACTTCGAACAAAAGCTCTGAAAACCCTATATTACTACTTAGTGTACTTAGAATATAAGAAGGAGAGCTACAAATAATTATAAAGTTGATATTTTTCAACAATCCTGCGTTTCTTTTGTTTCTACTATGGTAAAAAACCACTCCCGCCCTGAAAAACATTATTTTATTAAACCTAACCCAGATTAGGAAAAACAAACTAATGAACCACACAAATTTTCTTAACGTGTGGGCGTCGAACCCATAACATAGACCTACTGTACTAAAAGGTGGCAACGCATCTGCAACCCTAAAGGTTTTTGCAGATGTCAACGGGCGGCGGTTATCACTTAACATCAGGTGAACCGCCAGCTGATTTGCCACCTTCTCACATAAAAAAAAATAAGTTGATCTGTCCGTGCAGTATAAATGAAAAAGTTTAAATAGAAAAGCTCATTCAAATCACGGATCTCATTATGTTTAATTTTGTTTTGCCTCCGTAGATTTGATGTTTTCAACTGGTAAAATTCAAGTAACTGCACGCTAATAATACAAGTTTTACTAACGTATATCCGTTATTATAATAATATAATATAATAATAATATAATATAATAATAATATAATATAATAGTAATATAATAAACTTTATTCAGAAAAAGCCAAATTACAGTTAAATTTACTTCTGACCCCCACACTAGGCAATGCCTGTCCTACGGGGGTTAGTTCTTGACGATTTCCAATGTTATGCGGCAGATGTAGCAATGTTTAAAAATACGATCACAAACGATCACTTAATATTTAAAAAAGAGAAAAAGCATTCGTAATAATTAAACAGAATCGTAACAAATAGTAAGAGTAGTCACTTTCTTGTTCAAATTACATGTTATTTTTTTGTTTACTTAGAATAACCAAAAATAATAATAATAATAAGAATAATAAAACAAAATAAATGTAATGAATTAAATGAATGGCAAATATTAAAACAGTATAACAGTTATTAATACTTGTATCAGTTCCTGATCATCTGCTCCTTAGGTCCAGATCACATATTTTATAATGACAGTGTCGGACGCTATTACGTGGATGAGTACGGTCACCAGGTCTACTTCTATGACTATGGCCTCAAGATGTGCCACGTCAATTGCGCTGGAGAATTCTTCGAGGTGTGCTCCTTTCAATATGATATACTCAAATATGAATGTGATCATTGGTCCCTTCTTTGAAGTAGAAGTAACAGCCTAAATATATCTAATATATAAATTCTCGTGTCACAATGTTAGTTACCTTACTCGTCCGAAACGGCTTTACTGATTTTTACCAAATTTTATATGCATATTCAGTAGGTCTGAGAATCGGCTACTATCTATTTTTCATACCCGAGTGATAAGGGTAAGTGATAAGGGTGGTCCACCCCAAACATTTTTTAATTTATATGGCAAAACAACGTTTGCCGGGTCAGCTAGAATACATATATATTTTTCCTCACGCGACCACACTGCGCATTGGCGGACTTCACATATCTATTTTTCAAAATATAAATGGTATTTCGAAAATATGCAGGTTTCTCCGTTTAAAATTAACAATCTCAAGTTCAAGTTCAAATCAGGAAAGCGAGCGGCCGGAAAATGAGCTATCACGGCTGTCTTTCTATATTATCTAATGAAAAATAATAAAAAAGATTCTGTTTCTGAAATGCAAAAGATGGCATGCGAAGAGGCAGTTCATCGAATGCTAAGTGATTATCGTCGCCCATGGACTTCTACAACAGCTGGGCGCTTGCAGATGCGTTGCCAACCTTTTTAAAAGGGCGCCCGGTTACTTCATTCACCAGACAAAACAAAATTGTATAAAACTTCCGCTTTCTTTGTCCAGCAGTTGGATATAATTATAAAGGCTGTTACTTACTCCATTTTTTTATAAACGGTTTAATTTGTGACAATAGACCCCCGATACGGAGGTCTATTACTACGACAAGAATGGCCGCTACGTGCTAGACGAGAACGGTGATAAACTCTACAAGATCCGCTCCTTGCACCAGCTCTTATCGTCTGGTCGATGACCGGTTGATGAAGTGCACCGTGGATTGTGGACATTCGGAGCGTCCTAACGCTAGTTGTCGAATGGATATGCGAGATCGGCATGAGGCCTTGTTGCCGACTGAAGCTGCGGTGGACATAAAAGGTTCAGGATTACATTATATATAAGGAAATTTAACTGTGATCAAAATGTGTGGTTCCGTCTGACCCAAATTCTCGGATTTTCTCTGGTATCATGTAGCTAAAATTAATAACTTTTTCATTCTATTTTAGGATAGTAATCCTTTTATTATTCACTAACCTCAGTCATAAAATACTAAAATAGATTTACACATACATACCGATGAATACTATTCAAATTATATTATATGGTCCTTACTGCCAGATAAAAAAAATATGACAATGTGTTGATTAATAAGAACTTATAGTAAAGTCCTGTTACATCTATGAATATTGATCTTTAGACTTTACCCCAATTATTCATGGTAATACAATAAAATTATACAGCGTGTCGTTACAACCACGACAAAAAATGAACACACATCTAACGCTACTTTCCAATAAACATAAAAAATATAAAACGTTAAACAAATCCATAATTAAAAAAAATATTTTTCAATCAAATTAATTAAATAAAAAAGAAACAAAATTTGTAACATCATATACAACTACAACTGACTGATTCATACATTCAGAGACTTTTTCATTCGCTGACGCGGCGTCGCATTACAAGCCTCTCCTTCTAACAGTATGTTTTGTCTCTTTTAAATTCATTCAACCCATTCATATGCTTTGTGACCTTTACAAATGAACTTTACGTTACGCTTTTATAGGTAAGGGTATTCTAAAATTCTTTGTTTTGGAAAATTTAATAACTTTGTAAATATTGATGTTTAAAGAAAGTAAATTTTTGATACAATTTTAAAAAGTTATCCTCTATATATGTGTTCATTTATTGTCGCGTTGGTAACGACACGCTGTATATTCCAATTCTTGTATATATATATATATATATATATATATATATATATATATATATATATATAAGAATTGCTCGTTTATAGGATAAGAATAAGATGTATAAACTATATAATCTGTTACAAGTTATAACTTCTTTATTATATTTTACATTCATTTCTGTTTTAGGAAAACTTGATAAGGATACAGCGCTATATTTATGGGACAGTTTTGGTCATATACTCCCTGAAGTTCTGTACGAAGTTGCGAGCGAACAACCTAAAAACCCAATACACTGCCTGGCTCATAAATTGCTCCGTTACAAGTAAATTGACTCTTTCAATCTTACAACTTCCACGATATTTAAGAAGTGATATAAACTATTGAAAAGGCTTCATAATAACTTTTAACGCATGTGTTACAGATACGATAGGACTTTGCAAGAAATGCAACAAAAGAGAGATGAAGCATCGAGTTACAGAGCCGGAATATACCAAGACCGTAAAGATGTTAGTGTATTAAGTAACAAGCTTAAATAAAAAACACATTTAGTAATTGAATTTCATGGGCTGATGATCCTCAATAGATTAAATACTATTAACGCACCAAATTTTGCGACAACTTGAGGCCTTAATAAATTTTATTAATAATTAATATTTTATTAATAATTTATTTTCTTGATAAAACAGAAAGCAGCAGCAGCTAGTAAAGTATGGAGAGCCAAACAAGTTAATCGTCGTAACCTGGAGCATTCTGATGAAACAGAAGCCCAGGCTGCTTATGGACAGCACATCGCTAGGCAGGAGTTTATTAATTCCTTGATGATTTTCAATGAATGATTTTTTCCATAGAATAAATCATAAATTATTGAAAACGTTTTGTTTTTACTTTATTACAGGTCGTTGTATTTTTATAGTGTTTAAAAGTGTACATAGTTTCATAGTGCTGTTTTTTGTGTGATTTAGATAGAACGTTGAAATGACAAATGTGAAATGTACAAACTTACCCGATTTTAATTATTTTCGAAACACAAGATCTAGGAAAATAACTAAAACCAGTTCCAAAGTAAAAAGATTCGTAATTCACTAACCTAACGAGCGAACGATTGTATGCAAACTTGCTATGAAGTACAACAACACGACATAGGTTCGTATTCAAAAGCGAGCTGGCACACGACACGCGCAGATATCGTGTGTTGGTCGCGAATCAGGGACCTTGCGTTGGCCGGTGGACACGCTGCATGACACGAACCCTTGTCATCGTGTATATTTAATTTTTTTTTTATCTTGACTGAGTGTTTTAATTCTAATTAATTATAAGGTTGAGCATATCGCCACCAAGAACTTTTTTTAAGTTGCGGTGGGGTTACCCCACACGAAAAGACTCGTGTGCAGGCAAGGTACATACTACTACAGTTGCTACAGTGCTAATGAGCGGGAGCACATTCTAGCGATACGCTTTGAATTTTTGCCGTACTTTCCCACGGAATGGATTGACTAAATAATTTGACAGATGGGGGTTTTATTGGTGATAATAATCTCGATGACATTTTGATCCACCACTGTATAAAGGATTCCCCTGGGGCAACATAATGTTCTACATAATTTACATAAACCTTGATCCCAGACATCAGGAGTGTTCATGGATGATAGGTTACTAAAATTTGTGTATCTCTGTACAGAGATATAAGGGCATAGTTCACCAAAAATATAGCAGGTGAGTAAAAAATCTACTAACATTTATAAAGTCATTGAATAATGTATATATTATCCGTTAAGAAAACATTTTGTATACTTATATCCCTCATATAATTCTAGATATTTTGGGTTCGTGGAATTATTGCATATAAACATCTCAATTTTAATTTCACACATACCCAGAACCTAAATGATACTGATCAGATTAAAATATTTTAAATTCACAGAAAATATGCGCGATTCAATCAATGACTTCTTTTTTATTTTGTTCTGTAAACGATATTTAATCAGAGAGATATTTAATGTTGCTAATTTGCTACTTAGTCTGTGCAGAAGTTCAAGGCTCAATGCATGGACTCTGGAATTATCTGTCAACAATTATCTAAATTTTATCAAAAACACCTGAAATATGAATGATAACGTGCGTTTTTTGGACGAAGCGCTTACGGTGTCTTCAAAATAATCTTTGACTAGTGTGTTATATATGATAACGAACGTCTATTACCAAAAGTTACGAAATAAGTTCGAACTATAACTCCGGCAAGAAGGTGATTTATTAATTAATTAATTTTTTGGTGAATTGCTATAAAAATACACTATTAGTTTATTTGTTAGTTGCACAGAGTTAACGTAATAGATCCGGTACTCTAGAAATGTTGTTGTTGAATTCAGGGTTATAGGCGAGCGTGCCCTTCGCGAATGCATATTATGTATTCAGATTTTTATGTTTACTTCGCCCAGTCGCCGCAAGACTGCGACTGTACGTGACCGTCGTCACAAAGGCATTTTGCGGACGATACATGAAATTGAAATAATTTAGTGCGTCTACTATATTGACCTACTTTTGACTGTTTATGTAATCGGATACCCTATCATTTAACGAGGATTTCGTTTAATTAAGTTGACAGCGGATTTATTTTTCGAGTGTTTTTGTGATTTTAGAAGGCTTCCTTCAATTATGACGCGGTACTAAGTTCAACGATCCCTATAACGCAATCATTCCAGTCCAGAAATTGTAAAGACTAAGTGGAAAATGGCCAGGTATTTTGAAAATACCACAACATTCAACTTCAGTTGGGATCAGGTTGCATGCGGGTACTGGAAAAGGTACCCTAATCCACAAAGGTAAGTCGCTGGCTGGTGTTGTTTTTAGACCTTCAATTATCTTTTAAGACAACAAAAACCAAATAACCTATTAATGTTTTATATTCTATACGTATAATGTTATTTTATTGTTCTCTTTGTTTTTAAAATACAAAGAAAGCCATAAAATGAACTACACTAAGATAGATAGCTTATGTTTGTTTGAACATACAACTGAGATGTTATGTATATATTCAAATATAATAAATTTATTCAAAAATAACATTGAGATGACAAATATTACTTTCCCTAACCTTGGGTGATGCAAATCATACAAAAAGTTTGATATTAAATCAACTTTTTCTATATCTTTGGTTAAAGTTAAAATATTAGCAAAATAAAGTATGTTAAAAAAATATGTTGAATAGGGCAGATGTCAGTCTACCATCACTTTAATGAATAATTTTTATTTTAAATTTATGGTCACTTAAATTTGTGCCAGTATGTTTAAAGCTATTATGCATTAAACTAAAGTAATGGAAATTTAATGAACACATACATTTTGAGAAATTGGAACCAATTAAAACTACACAATAACCTGTTGTGTTAAACTGATAGTCCCTTTCTTGTAGTCATGTTTAATTTAACCTTTGGCTTTAGGACTTTATAGCCTAGTGCAACAACTTAAAGAGTACTTTTTTTTTAGTAATACCATCATGTTTAATACTAACTATTTGTACACACCATTGATCCATGTCTTATAGGAAAGTAAAAATCAGCCTTCAGATGGGTACTGTTTTCATTGCCCGCTGAGTAACATTTTACAAAATATATACGCACCTGTTTAATGTATGAAACTTGTTATTGTTTATGCTACTATTTGCACTAAGTGATAAATATTACACATTGACCTATGGAAAGGGACAATCTGCTAATTTTGGTTTCATTGAGACATATCTCTTTCGTACACATGTAAATCACCTGAAAAACATCACCTAGGTATTGTGACGAAGATTACACTTCAACACCAATATTACTTGTTTTTCACAGTTTGAAGTGCAATATTTATTGCCAAGTACTATATTTATTTTCCTAGTATGTTAAAGTGAACATTAAAGTCCTTCATATTTGCTTCTATGCTAATAGGAATCATGTATTGGTTCTTGAGACAAGCTGAATTTACTATTCTAATGTACATTTTTCTATTGCAAATTACAATAGAATAATAAATTCTGCCCAATTGGCCAATCTGTAAATTATATGACTATTCTATTGTACAGCACACATGTTCTTTCTGAGGACACCTGGAGCAGGCAAGTGAAGGATGGATGCCTTTATACAAAACGGCTTCTTACGAAAACGAACAGAGTTCCAAAGTGGGGAGAAAGGTAATAATAAATTTCTTTGTCACTTTAACTGGATCCCAGTTGGCCTTAGATGAAATTGCTCAATACCAGTTCATGGAAATAACAATTTGTCTTTGTCAACAAGTTTATTACTTTGATTGGTACATTAATGAATCAGACATAACTGTAAATAAATTGTATGCAGAATCAATTTGAATAAGGCGTTAAAGAGGATGAATAGGATTAATTATTATTAATGTAGAGCAGCCAAAGATTAAGAGAGACTTATCCTCAAATATTTGAGAAGGATGATTGTCATGTATACATAAAAATTTCTCATAGTTTATTATATAAATATTTTGGATATTATCAGTTTTATTGTTTACAAAAGTGTTATATAGAAATGTTATCTTATCATGGGAGATAAAATGTTTATATCAGTGATGTATTACATTATTTTGGGCCAAGTTTTGGCAATCTAATGTAGCAGCAGTGTTAATGTTTTTGTCTTAATTCTTGGAATTTAAAGGATTTAATGATTTTGTCCAACCATGTTAACATTGCTTTAATATCTAGATTTCGAATTATGTATTTTAGTAGCAGCATACAGAATTTGATTTGTAAATACTTGTATGATTATAAGAATGTTTTCATTTCATATTATCTAAAAAAATGTAAAGCAACTTAACCATCATGAACTACATATTTATGATATTCTACCTGCATATTTATGATATAATGATTAACTATCATTATATCATAAATATGCAGGTTTCCTCACGACATTTTACTTCACAACTGATTGTGCTGGTAAGTCAGCATTTAAAATGACTAATTTCATTGGTGATGGCACTGGGATTTGAACTCTGCTGTGATGACTCTGTGCCCAGACACTGAGCTATCACGGCTCATATGTTACGAGTAGCTACATGTAATCAGTTACTATTATTGTCAATTGCAGATTCTTCAATGCGAAATCTGTTAAGATAATCGAGGAAAGCATAGTTGACCCGAAGGAGAAAGTTCTAGTCACATACACCAGGAATTTGGGGTACACAAAAGTCATGGTAAGTACTGTTTGCACTTTGTAGTAACCTAAATAAAGTACCTTAATGAACAGAACCAAATGTAACTTGCAGATTGCTATTAAAGTTTAGACTTAATATTTATTCTGGCAAAGTTAAATAACGTAAAAGAAATTTCACATTTTAAATTAAGCTGTTAAATAGAACTTTGATTTGGATTCAACATATAATTTTTTGCAGTCAGTAGGTACAAACTGTTCATGGTGATATAGGACTTCTAAACAAAACTTTTTTCATTCATAGCATAATCAGGAATATCCCGACAACAATTACTATGAATAGCCTAGAAGTTTTTAGTCTCTTGTATATGTCCTAGAACTTATATTTTTGTATTTTACTGTAGGACAACATTATCCTGACACATATCCAGATTCGAAACAACTATCTGTGGGTCACGCAAATAATTGTCCCACGTGGGAATCGAACCCACGGGCCCGGCGGCGACAGAGTCATCAAATATAATAGCTTGGCTTTACTCAATTCTTAATCTTGCTTTGATTTACTCAATTCTTAATCTTAACCCAGAGCGTGGTGGAACGCGTGGAGTACCGGTCTCTGGGCGGTGGGCAGACCATCGCGAGGCGCTCCGCTTGGATCGACTCTCAGGTGTTCGGCTTCTCGAGGGCCATACGTGCCTTCGGTGTTGACAGGTTCCGCAAGAACTGCACGCAGATGGTGAGATTAATTTATGGTAACATTTCTGGCATGGTCTACGCATATTAGTCAAGTCAGGTGCACTGATAATCCTCAAAACCTCCCCTTTTAAGATACGAAGGGAGAAAAGAGGATTGCCGTGGCAGGACCACTTGTGTGTCATAGGAATAGATTTCATTGAAATCCTCTATGATGGTTGTCTTTCAATTTTGACATGGGATCATGTCAAAAGACCAACAACTTCTAAGCGATAATGAAATTTTATGGAAAAAATCTCTTGTCTGTCCCCTGTTATCGGATCGGACCATCACCTGATGCCATCTGGGGCCAACTTTGCTAAAGAGGCTGTTATCACTTCCATCAGGTGGACGTCGATTCGCTTCCCACTTTCTCTCGGTCGTCATGGCAGTACCGTGAAGTTGGTCGAAGTCGGTCGCTTTGCAATCAACCTCATCATGTCACTCGCTGTCTGAGTGCGCGCTTATAAAAATAATCACTCTCATCGGTTCTTCCCAAACGCGTCGAAAGAACTGTGACTTCGTTTAACCCCCGTCCCCCCCCCCCCCCGTCCCCTTCGTTAACTTACCGCGTCGCCCCCCCCCCCCCCCCCCCGTCGGCAGGTGAACGGCTTCAACGACGTGCTGCACGCGATGTTCCCGCGCGCGGGCCACCCGCCGCCGGCGCCGGTGAGCCACGCGCTGCGCGAGATGCGCGACGCGGCAGCCGCCGCCACCGACCGCGCCAAGGCCAACGTGCTCTCCAGCGTCAACCGCACCTAGCGCGACTAGCGCCCCCCCAGGTGGGTGTGCGCCACTCTCTTAGGGTGGACCCCCAACGCCTCGGGTGGGCAAGTGGAAACCCAAAAGACCCCTCGCGGCACCCCGCAGGCCCCAACCGCCTCGGGTAGGTAGCGGGGTGCACGCTAAAAACCCCTCGCGGACCCCTAATGCCTCAGGTAGGCAAGTGTTAACCGAAAAGACCCCTCGCGGATCCCCACCGCTTTGGGTAGGCAGCGGCTGTAAACGCAAAATGCCCCTCACGAACCCCCGAAGCTTCATCAACCCCCAATTCACTAACATAGTAACACACTCTATAAATGAATATATTTATATAATCATTAATATTATTCTGATAGTCTTTAGCACACAAACATTCCTTTACAAAGTTTTTGAACTTAGTATCTGATTTTTAAGAACTCATACATTTTCTCATAAAAGAATAATTTATTTTATGCTATCAAGATGACGGTAGAATTAATTTGTTTGTTCCTAGTATTTATATCATGTACATTACTGAATCTTGAAAATTCATTCTTATTTTTAGGTGGCTTTCAATCACGGAAATTGATGTTTTCTTTTCTAATTCTTAGCAACTTTAACTTCCCTGAAAGTTAAAATTTATCATAAATTGGAAAATGGAAAAAATTCAATTGACGGAGTATCGAGTGAAAGAGCAATCAACAAAATAAAGAATTGTCTCATACTGTTATATCATTTTCAATCTTATCCCACTGCTTTAGTTATATATTTCATTTAATTTCAACAGGAACTGACTTAAGAAATAAATTAAGCTAAGTAATTTAAGGAACTAAATTTAACAATTAATCAGATAGTAACACATTATTTCTTATTACAGAAGATGGTATATGGAGCACTCCAGCATAGCCATTCGTGCCAGAATTGATCATTGTTTTCTTAAAGGAAGAAAATAATCTCCGAAAAGGAGACTTCGTCCAATAGTTATTGGATAAAGTCAAGTTGGACTTTGGACACAAGACACCAATCATGATCACACGCCATAGCTTTAATGTGAGATATATTTAAAACTTTGTAAAAAATAACTAAAGTGCTACTACTATGAATGTTTAGGACTGGCCAAAAGTGGAACTTATTCTCCATGTGGATAGTTTACGTTAGTTCCACAAAGAAACCAGCCTCACCAATAACATTCATGAACACACAAGCGATAAGACAAATAAGCAATGCAACGAAGACAGATACTAATATATGTTACAAATTAACATGTTCTATATTGTTGTTGATATTTATCAGATTATATAACATCGCATAATATTATAAATAACTATTTTTTATCAATGCTTTTCAGTACGTAAGCAATCGCGTTATATTTTTGTACCATACATTAATACCTAGGGCAAATTCACTGTTATATCTGGAAAGCTATTTATTGCCGTCTCTGTCTCACTATGAAGACTTTCGTATCTCTTCTCATAGAGCACTGCCTCCACTCATTTCACACATGCATAATAAAAACTCATTGAGCTACTTGGTACCTTTGACCACATTCCAATGGTGGGTTTGCGATTTGCATGCTTGCAAGTTAAGAAAAATTAATGTACAATGTTACGGCTCCAGAACTAAGCTGCATAAGAATTATCTTTGGTTCATAAGTATATAGAGAAATGACAATTCTCTGCGTTTGATGATATATAAAAATGAAAAATGCAGAACATGCATTCACAAGTTCTTAGAAAAAAATCACACCATTCTTAACTTGGATATGTGGATTAAATTGAAGCATTTTAAGAAACCAGACTGATATTTGCAATGTGTGAGAGTAGATGCATATGTTTATTAATATGATTTGCGTATAGTTGAGTATTCAAAAGGACAAACTTTCAATAAAATCCATTAAGTACTGTATTCAGTATTACAGTATGTGTATAAGTATTTGTTTTGTTGTTAATAAATCTATAATGCAAAATATCAAGGAGAGAAAATTTTATTTACATTGCAATATTTTGTATATTTATGTATGTATAATTTTTTTCAATATTAATCATTATCTATTAAATCTTTTACATAAATAATCATTGTAACAGTTATGAAGTAAAGAACTTAAAAATGTTTAAACATTGCTAGCTACATTGTTTAAAAATTGCAATAATTACTGTAACATTGCTAATACTTCATTTTTAAAAATCTTGTAAAGTACTGTAAAAATGTTCTTTTCACATATTTGTTGTCATGTATGTGTGCAAAAATTATATCCCCAAGTATTCCTGCATTTCAAGACTATCTAATACTAATATTTAAGAATTTTTAACAACGTGAGCGATGAAATTATTTTCATTTTGTTTGTAAAAGTATAATAGACTTTGAATAGGACTTTGGGACCGTAGAATATTTTATGTTTCATAGTCTTTTGATAACTTTAGATTAAAAATTAGCATTAGTTACCATGTAGAAATGTAAAAGGGAAAAATTGATAAATAAATTATGTGGCAATATTATGTCCTGTGTTTTCTTTCATTTTGTGGTCATTGCTAATCTTAGGTTCAAATATCAAGTATAGTCATATTAAAGGTGAAATTAAAAAATATAAAATCGTTATTTTAACAAACAAAATAAGTTTTGAACAAAAATATTAGAATGTAAATTAAATTCGCTGATGCTAATTGGATTGACCATGAATTTAACAATAAGTGATGGATAAATGAATTTTGTTTACATTTTCATTGTTATTGATTGAAGGGATATCTATTGAGATATCAATGTGTTTTATTCAAAACTTTTATTTTCTACAAATTAACTAATATTTGAGTGCTAAGCAAAATTGTATTTTAATCTCGAATTACAGTTCTATTTTATTTTGATGGCGGCACGTAGCCTTGCACTTCTACTTCTTGGATTTTGTTCCACTTCATCATCTGAAGGCACCTCCACACGTTTGTTTATCGCTTTCCACGGACTGTCGAGCATTTGATTGATAGTTTCTTGATCTTGAACCAAAGCTGGGTTGAGGTACCTCAAAGGCACAGGATTTGCTACATCATTGATAGTATTTCCAGCAATATGACGCTTCACAATCGTGTCTTCTAATGAATGGAAGCAAATTGTGACTAGTCTACCATTTAGTTTTAAGTAATACTTTGATAACACCATTCCATAATTTAGTTCATTGAGTTCGTTATTAACAAATATTCTTAATGCTTGAAAAACTTTTGTCGCATTAGATTGTGGCCTTTGCAATTTGTCAAGTCTAAATTCATTTGGACAGCAAGAATCTACAATATCTGCCAACTCCCAAGTAGTTTCTATATTTTTAATCATATATCGAGCTTGAATAATGCTCTGTGCAATTTTGGCAGCTTTCTTCTCTTCGCCATATATTTTGAATATTTTATATAGCTCATGTTCATTGGCAGTGGCCAATACTTCACGGGCTGTTATTTGATTTGGGTCTCTCCCTGCATCCATTCTCATGTCTAAATAACCATTTTTGCTAATAGAAAAACCCCGCTCTCCATTATCCAACTGCATTGATGAACAGCCAAAATCAAATAGTATACCATCTATAGAGGCCTGCTTTATATTGTTTTTTTTTAAAAGCGCCGGAAGCTCACTGAATTTTCCAAGTAAAGGTAGCACTCTATTTGGGAATTCTGCGGCCAGTTCTTTAGCCTTCTCATAAGCTGTGGGGTCTCTATCTAATGTTATTAATTTGCAGTTGGCAGAGGTAAGTAGTTGCCTCGAGTGGCCACCTGCACCAAATGTCATATCAATGTACACCTCATTATCTGCAGGTTTCAAATGTTTGGTTACTTCTTTTAACATAACAGGAGTATGGTCTTTATATTGTGCGACTTCTGTTGACAGCTTGCGCTGTAGAACAGGCCAATAATGCTTTTTTAAGTGTCTGGGAATCATCTTTAATCTTTGTTAAATATTTTTTTGAAAAAGCCTTTGTTTTCGTCCTTTAAATATTTCAGTACTTCGCTCGATAGAATTAAATTGCACTCTTCAGTACTTAGACCAGTAGCTGTGCTGGTTTTTTGTCTCTTGTATTTATTTTTGTAATAATTATCAGCTAACTTGTTCAAAGAGTTGTACTGGCGATTGCAAACCTCGGTATCCAAATTTTGAGCTCCTGTTACAACGCCGCTTTTACTTTGTCACGAATAAACTTTCCAAGATCTCTGTAAATTGAAAAGTTTTATTTGTATAACGTTTTAATGAAGAGGATTTAATAAGCTTATAAAATAAAGGAATCGTTAATCTTTTGTTATAATTTACATTTAAGAAAATATATCGGCAAAATATCATATTGATGTTTCTTTCACATGCAAAATAAATAAATAATCAGATGGCGGGTGTCAAAGTTTTTGAACATTACTAACCTTTCACCTTTTGTAGTGTCTAGAGGCCACTTAGCTATAAGTCTTGTAAATTTTTTATATTGAGTAGTCATAGCTAAAATGAATTAAAACATTCATAACTTCAATTAAATAATAGAAAAATACTATTTCCTATATTACGATTACAATATTGTTACGATATAAGACAAAACTAATGACATTGACAACTTGTTGATAGGATGATAGTTTATTTAATTATCATGTTGCCATAATCTTTCGGCAGAGTAGGTAACATTCGAAAGCTGTGGAAAAACCACTAAGAGATCAAAAGCCAAACAAGGATCCATGGATAAATTGCTACGGATGTGCCTTCTAAGAAAGGCACATGCACTTGGGGTACAATACTCACGGGCAGTTGGCGAGAAATCTTAAAGGCTTCTGGATACCTCCTTTGACCTCGCCCGATGGTAGCGACGAAGAGCACTCGTCCTCCTGCGCAAGGAGAATATGGGACTGCGTCTCCATCAACAGGCCGCAGGATTGAGCATACCTCTGTAGATGAGGTGACGTATATAATTAAAAACCTTAAAGATTTTTTTTTAAAGATTATTTCCATTGAACGGTACGGCTTTAGACCCTGTCCGGGTCGAGCGTCTTTCAAGCCCAGTCGACGGAACCGTATCCCACCCCTGCACCTTGAGGGTGGGCACTCCCCTCGAATCAGTACTTTCCCCGACTTACGGCCGGTTACATTATTCCATCTACATATAGATTTGGTCACTACCGATAGGTATTTGACATTAGCTCTATAATACATACGTCAAAATTCTATGTCCAGTAACCATATTAATCTGATGAGGTGACGTATATAATTAAAAACCTTAAAGATTTTTTTTTAATATTATTTCCATTGAACGGTACGGCTTTAGACCCTGTCCGGGTCGAGCGTCTTTCAAGCCCAGTCGACAGAACCGTATCCCACCCCTGCACCTTGAGGGTGGGCACTCCCCTCGAATCAGTACTTTCCCCGACTTACGGCCGGTTACAATATTCCATCTACATATAGATTTGGTCACTACCGATAGGTATTTGACATTAGCTCTATAATACATACGTCAAAATTCTATGTCCAGTAACCATATTAATCTGATGAGGTGACGTATATAATTAAAAACCTTAAAGATTTTTTTTAATATTATTTCCATTGAACGGTACGGCTTTAGACCCTGTCCGGGTCGAGCGTCTTTCAAGCCCAGTCGACAGAACCGTATCCCACCCCTGCACCTTGAGGGTGGGCATTCCCCTCGAATCAGTACTTTCCCCGACTTACGGCCGGTTACAATATTCTATCTCCATATAGATTTGGTCACTACCGATAGGTATTTGACAATAGATCTATAATACATACGTCAAAATTCTATCTCCAGTAACCATATTCATCTTTAGATAGAATATTGAAACCGACCGCTAGAGGGTCTAACATGGCTGGTTGGATGGTGGTTCAAATGTAATCTAATCTGAGGGGCTATTTGATCGTTAGTCGAATTGTCATCATTCAATGATAAGGGCCGTGGAGATGTAGCGGTGCAGACGGTGTCATCGTGTCGTCGTCCTATTGCAGCGATATTGTAAACTCACATAACTATAAGCCAGGTCGAGAACTGCGCGTTCAAAACAAGAAAGTGTTGAGGGCGGCGGAGAAGGCCTTGACACTGCAGTGTGTCTTTTTATGTGTTAGAAGCATTTCATTTGATGTTAAGTGATAACCGCCACCCATGGCATATCAGTTGCATTGCATATCAGTTGCCACCCTATAGTAAAGTGGGCCCCGGCTACCTCAATCACTAGGCGATCCGCAGAATTATAATACTTCCACTTCACGCCTGTCCTCTGTGAAGTCGTGGTACTCACCTAGATGGACCTGCCTTTTCATGCAAAGACCGAAGATGTTGTTCGCATTAATGTTTTAAGTGATTGTGCACAAGAGTGCCACGTCCATTATGAACAGGCCAGTGAGCAGGACAAACACTCTCCTCAGCACTTTGACCAGTAAACTGAATCTTTAGAGATGCTGTAATGGTGTACACTTTTTGGGGCCTACTCCAGATTTTATAGGTTTTATCCCGTAGCGTGTTAATTATCTGATTACGTGTACTAAAAATGTTATTAATGGGTTTTGTATCTGAAAGATATTATTACATTTTATTATCATAACTTCGTATTACTAGACCTTGTTGTGAAACGATGATAATTATGTATAACGATGTAAACGATGGTAATTATATATACCCCCATAGAAACGCACAGTACCTGAGATATTGCAGGCGTGTTTTTGGCCACTGAGTGTGTGGTCTCATTAAGTTCACACTCATCGTATGACACAAAACTATAAATAGTACTTTTTCATACCAGTCTTCAGTGAGGTGTGAATGCCAATTTAAAAGATTATTTGTAATATAGATTATAGTAGGGTATGTAAAGTTATTTCATATAAGATATTGATTTTTCATCGGGAAATTAAATTGACTTTAATTTAATTATCATTAATTCTGACGTTAAAAGGAAATTCCTCATTTTTATGATTATACTTTCGTTACTTTAGGTTATGAAGAAAGTATTGTTATCGTTCAATCTTACTGCTTATCATTGTGTGCAATAAATAGTGAAATAAATGAACTCACATGTTTTTGTACGCGTATCGTTAATTTAAATTAAGTTATTTCGGCACAAAAACATGAAAGGTAAACCACTAATATTACAATTCAATAAAGTGTTCTTTAAATTATTCAATTATCTATATGTGGTATTATTCCTTCAATTAAGGTAATCAACATATTTAGAGGCACACATTTACAGATACGTCCCTCTTAAATGTCTTCTAATTTTATAAGTGGATACGAAGCGAAGTTTGCTCGTAGCTCCCAAGCGCATTAAAGGATTACATGTGCTTTTTAAATTACGCCCCAGGGTGTGGGATTTCCTATTGATGTTACCGCTATTAAGTTCAGTTTAAATTGGTTTAAAACGCCATGAAGGTAATATATTAAAGGTCGAATGCTTATTTTACTGTAGGTACAGTATTTAGTTAGAAGTGGTGCCACTGGTGTCCCTCTTTTGAAGGTACTCCCCTTGTTGCCACCAATTCGATCGGAATTCTTGGGGTCGATATATCGAGCAGCGTTCAATTTCGCGATCATTTCGAAGCAAAAGCCAAGCTGGCTTCTAAAAAACTCGGTGTCCTAAACCGAGAGAGACAGTATTTCCTACCAATACATCGTTTGCAGCTTTATAAAGCACAGATTCGGCCGCACATGGAATACTATACTCACCTCTTGGCTGGGGCACCGAAATACCAGCTCCTTCTATTTGACCGCATTCAACGAAGAGCTGCTCGAATCGTCGACCACCCAATCCTTTCCGGTCGCCTCGATTCTTTGGCCTTGCGAAGGGATGTTGCATCCCTTTGCATTTTCTATCGTATATAACATGGGGAGTGCTCTGAGGAATTGTTTGGGTTGATACCTGCTGTTGAATTTGACCACCGTACAACCCGTCAAACCGCCAAGTACCATCGACACCACCTTGATGGTTGGCGGTCCACCACTGGGCGTTTTTCGCGAAATTTTCCACCACGCACAACTACTTTGTGGAACGAGTTGTCGCCAGCGGTATTTCCAGACCGATACGACTTAAGGACCTTCAAGAACAGAGCCTATTCCTACCCTAAAGGCCGGCAACGCAATTGCGACTCAACCGATGTTGCAAATGTCCATGGGCGGCGGTGATCGCTTATCACCAGGTGACCTGCATGCTCGTTTGCCTCTTATTCCCATAAAAAAAAGATTAAATCTCTATTTGATGTCGAGGTTCCAAATCACACTAGCACATTATAAGCTCTAAAAAAAGAAAAAAATCTTATTGTTATCACCGAAATGTCTTAAATAGGTTGTTGGTGGTCTAACTATGGTACAATTATACCAATTTATGCTTTTTTACATACAAAAAAGTAAATAAACATTATTTACATTTCGCAATAGCGCGCACTTAACTAATGTTGCATACTTTGACTCAAACGTAAAGTAGGTAGTGTGTGACAGACATAACACTCTACGAAATCTAAATGAGCCGATTGTCTCTTTTCAAAGTCCCACAGCTGGGAAAAGGCCTCCTCTGTACAGACGGTATCAGGGCATAGTTCACCACGCGGCCCAACTGCAGATTTTTTTGTTATTATTTCGAAAATATGCAGGTTTCCTCACGATGTTTTCCTTTACCGCCGAGCACATGATAATTCAGCACTTAAAATTAACAATTTCATTGTTGCTGGCACCGGGGATCGAACTCAAGTTGCTCTAGTGAAGATAATTAAAGGCGAGTTCCCGGACTCTGAGCTATCACGGCTCATGAATGATAGAGGTCCTCATGAATGATAGATGTCCTCATGAATGATAGAGGTCCTCCTTTTTGCGTGCATCACGGAAAACTGACTGAATAGATTACAATTAATTCTTCTGAGGTTTATTTCTTACACATTTGGCCCATATCTAAATAGTATTTTGATATCTTAATGTAGTGAAAAGTTATTAAAGTTATAAGAAACAAACAAAAGACGATTCACGGGTATAAGCTAGTTTCAAATAAGGGCTGTGGACCCGTAGCTAATTCATTCAAACACCTCTTGATCTGCTATGTTCTTAAGTATAAAGTGGTAAAAACACAATTCAATTCATTTAATAATTTTCGTTCATATAATACGCGCCAAATATGGCACCAAAGGGGGCCAGTAGCAATTGCTAGGAGCCCCTTTGGCGCGGGGCCCGTAGCAATTGCTACTCTTGCTGCGTGATTAATCCGGCACTGCTTAAACCACACAACTAACAATTGCCTATACTCGATTAACTAACCTTTACCCAGAGAGCATTTGTTTATTTTCCTTTTAATTTCCTCTACTGTGTTTGTCTATAAAAAAATTAATAAAACAAGTCCATATTTTTTACCAAAAATAAACAAAACCGTCTTCAAATATCTCGCTCTGTATTCATTTTATAATTGATTTTGAAGAGTTCCTTAAGTATCTCCGGAGCCTAAATTGAAATACCAATGAAATTAATATGAGATCACATGGGAAGCAACAGCTTTCGAATAAAAACCGAATCATCAAAATGGGTTCAGTCAATTGAAAGTTCTGAGGTAACGAACATAAAAAAAATACAGTCGACTTGAGAAACTCCCCTTTTTTTGAAGTAGGCTAGCATCGCTGTTTGCGAATTATTGCAAAAAACTGAATTGGAGTCATTGCAGAATAACCTGACTGGTTGTTCTGCAACCCCCTTTTTAGCCCGGTATTGATGAAATTTTTCATTACAATTTCAAGGCGTCTGGCGGTGAAAGAATACGTCCTTAGTAAATCTGCATATCTAAAAATAAATATATCGAAGTCTGCCTAAGGATACCTTAGCCTTATTCGTACATAGGAGTAGCAATGAGACATTATATATATTTGCAGATTTGTGTGACTCCTTGAAATATAGGGACATTTTTTTTCTTTCGTGAATGTGACAAACGAGTTGGCCTTCACCTGATGTTAAGCCGTCCATGGACAATTGCAACACCCGCAGTGTGGCAGATGCGCTGCAATCTTTTAATAAAGTGGACTCCGGGTGCATTAATAATTTTTTATTAAAAACTTTAATAAAAAAATAATAAAGTACACAACATACATACATATTATACACAATAGAGATGATTATTTTGCCGTTTTTATAGATAATGCCATGGAACCCTTCTTGCGTGAGTTCGAGTCACACTTGGCCGGTTTATTTACTTCCGTGTCTCTCAGTTTTTCGGTAGTTATCAGAAAAAAATGTAAGTTTTTATAAGCTTGTTGGATTCCACTTCATGAAAAGGTCTGTATAAAAAAGTAATTTCTTACAAATCGCTAAAAGATATTAATGTGTAAGACGACATTATAAGACGTGCGGCCTTAGGGATTAATATATTTCGGATCATTCTGAGATCCAATATTTTACTGTGACATGTTTTTATAAAAATAGTTTGCTTTTTTTTGCGTGTATGTAGATAATTTGATAAGGGTTTATCGGAGCTAGGAATATCAAATTTAAAGTAAATAATCTAGAATATTATTTATTGTCAAAATCAAAATGTCATTTGGTGTGGGGGTAACTGTTGGCAAGGATAGGTTTTTCAAACTAAAATTTGTTGATAGAATGATAGAAATAAGTTATAAAACATACCTTTTACCAATTTATACAACTATAACTCAATTATACTCAATAATTGCATAACGATAATACTTAACTTTCCAGCAGGGCAATAGTCTTAATAGCCTTAACTCAAAATAACCAAAAAACTGACCCGCGTTCGTTGTAAGATTTGAATTTTTGAATTTATGATATGTCCAAAAACAAATTCCAACCGCCCCCACTCTAGGGAGTAGGAAATATCACGTGACGAAATAGGTGT